TTTCTTTTTTCTCAAATTTTACGGATATTTTTTTTCCATTGATTTTTCTTTTCCGAGTTCGGTTTCTTGTCACTTTGTGTCATCTCGAGTGCTCGGGAATGGTTTTCGAGACTCTTCCCTTTGGTTTGACAACGTCCTTGTGAGGATTGCGTCATTTTTACATTTTCTTTTTTCGTCACTTTTTATTTTTCGTCTTTTTCCCGTTTTCGTCTTCCTTCACGTAACCTCACTTCGTGTTCTCGGATTTGATCCCAGCTTTGCATGCATCCATGATATATTATTTCCATGATATTTGTATCTTTACTTTTTGTAGAAAATTAATCTAGTTACTTATTTTTCCGTAAAGGGCATGAATGCATCGTTTCTTCGGAAACATCATTTGTGTTTTGGGGGTTTCGTGTAATTGTAGAAAGTAATTATTTTTCGTTTTAGCGACCTTTTTGCAATTTATTTTGGAAGATATTTTCAAAAAAGACTTTTTGTAATTATCAAAAAAGTGTGACAAGTGTCGCACTCTCATTGGGCCACTTGTAAGCATCTTATTGGTTCACACTTGGAAGCCTTGGATGATGACATGTGGAGGGTGAGGATTCACCCACTTGTTGGCCTAGTATTGGTGTACTTGTTGGCTTGGATTGTTGATAAGTGTAGGCTTTAGATTAAGCCTAGAATTAACCCTTGGATTAATGGCAAGTGTAGGCTTCTCATTAAAGTCTAACTTTTGTGTGTGTGAAAGGATGGTGTAGAACTAGGTGTGTTGACTTCCTTTGACCATGTGAGTGCAGAAATACACTAAAAGTATATTTCTTATTTCTTTTTTTCATTAAAAAGTGTTCTTCCTCATTAAAAACCCTAGCCACTATTGAAGGAAACCATAAACCTAGGCTTACAACCTTGGTTTTGATCTCATTCCACTCACCTTAGACTTAAAAGCTTGGACCACAAAACACTTGCCTCACCTTCCTTTATATAACCCTTGAAGGAAATTTAAAAATTCCTTTATTTGCTTTGAATTCAAGAGGAACAATCCTCTTGTAAGGTAGGGGATGATTTATATTTATAATCTTAGTGTTTTAGTTATTTTTGTAGCTTACTATAAATTGTATACATGTCAGTTACTTAATTTTTAAGTTAATAGGTTGTTGTACCTTGCATGAAATTAAGATAGAACATGATATTCTTGAAGGCCATGACTTGATCTATAACTTGTCTTAATATAAAGTTATTTGGAGTAGTTTTAAAACCTAGAGATTTAATTATTTTTAAATTAATTAATTTTTGTTTTATTGCTCCAATGACTTGTTTAAGTTTTTAATATGATATTATTGATGATCTTGTCATGTTCTTTCACATAGATTAAATTGAGAATATTTGGATTAGGTTTGAGAACTTTATTTAATTATATTCTTTGCATTGAATTTAATTCACCTAGTTGTATCTAGTGTAGAATTAACTTGTAACATGATATTAAATTAGGCCTTGATATGACATTTGACATATATTATTTTTAGAATTTTTGTAGTTGTTTTGAAATCTTGAGAATTTAATTATTTAATTAAATTAAATTCCATTTATATGCTTCCATTGAGGTAATTAGGTATTGATATTGTATTCTTGCTTAATTTATAAATTTGGAACTTGTTGCATGATTACATGACAGTATTCATGAGAAGATGTTATAATCTAACTTGTTAGTATACACATTATACTTATACGATATTTAATATGCCATTCTAGCTTGAAGGCCTATGGCATATCTTGTATGTAATTCCATGACTTGGTTGTGCATGGTAACTGACTAGGTGCATTGTGTATATGTGATATACCTTGTTGCACAACTTAATGATTTTAGTAAAGCTTGTATGGACATTGGAATATGTTACGGCTAGGGCATGGCTTTAGTACAGGGGATAAGAGTGCCCTCTACAACATATACTGCGCACTAGGTAGTACCTTGAGGGCTAGTAACCCGAAATCACTTGCTTGGTCATTGAGACCACATGTCCTTTGTCTTTCCGCCACTTGTTGATTTTGCATTTAAATTCTAAGTTGTTTACTTTGTGAATTTATACTTTATTGCATTATATTGGAAGTTCCAATTTGAGTTAAATTGCATTAATGTTGTTAATTGTGATTTAATGTTCTAATGTAGCCTAGGAAGATCCTTTAGACTCATATAGAACATAGATGTTAGGAGGCATGTACCACATGGATTGGTTTATACTAAATTGCAAAACTTGTAAATCTTTAGGTTATACGCATATCCATTTCGTACGAGTAACTTGTTTACTCACCCTAGTTGTTTGGGTTATTTTTCAGGTAACGAAACCTTGTTTTGGGATGCATCACATCCTTGAACACTTTTGGATACTTAGAGTATATTGTTGTAGCATATTCATGCACTTGTTGGCATTAAGTGCCTTATTTTTAGCTTTATATGTCAAAAACATGAATATTTTGTTCTAAATATGTAATGTGTATATAAGTGCACCTTTTAATATGTATTTGACATGTATGTAATGAAGCCATGGGCCAAGTACTTTTTTTTTTTAATTTATTTTTTTTATCTTCCAAGTACTTTTTGTTTCAAGTGATATTGTAGAAAAATGGAAAAAAGTGAATGCTTTAACTTTACTACATTTGCATGGGGTGTGGGAAATGTGCTAAGGCACATTCTTAGGGTTCCTTTATATATGTATGAAGTGTGGCCAAGGGCCAAACGGTCTTTTGAAATCATTTAATAATTTTTAGTTTCAAATTTTCTTTTAAAAGTCCATTTTAGGCAAAACTGAGCTTTGATATGTCAAATGTTGCATCGGGCTTACATAGGACCCATGGGCCATTCCCGCATACTTCATCCCTAGCTTCAAAGCTCAAGGCGAGACCAAAAAGTCAAGGATCAAGCACCCAAGCTAAGTGATCGATCAATGTTGAAGACAAAACCCAAAAATATTCTAAGTTTTGAAGAAAAAGATACTTCAAAAAAGATTAAAAAAAAATTGGCTAAGTATAGAAGTATGGATCGAGCACTATCCTGAAAGCTCGAACCCTGTACTTGAAAGCTAGAGCCCTGACCCTAAAGCTCGAGCTCTGACCCCAAAGCTCGAGCTCTGGCATGAAAGCTCGAGCGCTAACCTGAAGGCTCGAGCTTTGCTGTTAAGATACAATTTAAAGCTGTGGGATTTATTCTAATTCAGTTATACTTCATCCCAGATGGGCCCAGATTACCCTAGAAGACCTAAAAACCCATTCAACCCTTATTAGAAGTTAATTCTTCTATAAAAGGAGGCACAAGGCCACATATCATCTATCTCTCTTCCTAGTTATTCTTTCTCTTAATTGTTGGCGGCTTTTAGGGTTTTGAAGGTGGAGATCCCAATAAGAGAAGTGCACACCAACACAAATGATCTCTAGTGTTATTATGAGTGGCTAATTCCTCTCATAGGGCATTGATGTAGCCCAAATTCGAGTATTATGGTTTGATCATTCTTAACTTTAGGGATTTATGTATTTATGTATCTTGATTGCATAATTATGAGCAACTGATTACGGATTAGTTGGTGTTTTAATGAATTAATAGTTTTTAAAGAATTATTACCTTGTCTTAGATATAATTGTTCTTAAACTATTCTCAACCTGTTCTTTCTGGACGGTATGATGGAGGCCTATCGGGCATAAGAATGGAGATTATGCAATAATGTTCTAATATTTTTCATGAATGAACTCTTTCATAGTCTATGCCTAGGGAAGACGAGTAATACTGCAACATTAGTTATAAGTAGGTAGGTAAATAATTTGCGCCAACCAAAGATATGTTATAGTTAGCTAAGTTCAATGAAATATCTTTCTTGAAAACCCGGATTAAATGAATATTATTAATTTTAATCCATATGATACATAAATTGTGAATTTCCAAGGTTGAATGGTTAACCATAATACGAGATTCGTAGTGAAGTGAATCCCTAAGTATCTCTATCCCTGATCTTCTCTTTACTTTTAATTTAGTTTATTTTACTTTGATGTTCATGACAAACAATCAATCAAACACTTTTCCTCTCATTGAATCAAAATAATATTAATAGGATACTTGAATAACTACGACAGTCTCTGTGGTTCGACACCCACTATAGAGCCCTATCCTATAAGGATTCGTGCTATTGCGAGTGGTTTATTATTGCACACATCAATTTTTGGCGCTGTTGCCAGGGACTGTGTAACAGTTTACTTGAGTTGAAAATTAGTATTAGTTTGATTCTTAGTTTTTAGGACTTTCTGATATCTTATCTACTTTTTTTTTGCTTTTCAAGTGCAGGATTTCGCAGCGAGGACGAAAACGCTTAAGGGAACGAAGCTTTGGTTTTAGAACCTTTTGAAAGTTTTTGTTGTTTTTCTTTAGTTGAAATTTTTACTTTTTGGTTACTGCTTTTTGTGCAAGTGGATTTAGTGCATGGTTGGTCTTCATTCATTGTTAGAACAAATAATTGAATACGACCCTGAAATAGAGAAAACTCTTAGGCAAATTAGAAAACATAAAAAGAATTCTGAATTGTTAGGAGAATCCTCTAGGACAGACATGGCTGATAATACTAATCCACTACCTAATGGAACGCAGGTGCCACAAGGACCTGTTCCTCCACCACCACCACAATTGAGGGATCACTTCATTCCCACTTCATACACATCACCTTCATGCTTCGTATTCCCAAATTCTGATGTAACCCACTTTAAGATCAAACCTGCTATGATATAAATGCTTCCTACATTCCATGGGTTTCCAACAGAGGATCCTTATACGCACTTGGATGTATTTTTGGAATTGTGTTCAACTACCAAGTTGTCCACTCTTTCTGATGACGCATTTAGGATGCGACTTTTTCAGTTCTCTCTCAAGGACAAAGCAAGAACCTAGTTGCATTCCCTACCTCATAATTCCATAAGCACATGGGACATGATGCAGTAAGATTTCTTGAAGAAATACTACACCGTGGGTAAAACTTCACAAATGAGAAGAGACATCATGGCGTTCTTCCAAATCTCGGGTGAACAGTTCTATGATGCATGGGAAAGATACAATGATCTTCTGAGGAAGTGTCCACATCATGATATTGCTAAATGAAATTTGGCACAAATCCTCTATGATGGATTAATTGATCCACATAGAAATATGGTAGATGCTTCTAGTAATGGTGTTTTCTCGCATAAGAGCCCAGATAACGCTTGGGAACTGTTTGAGGCCCTAAGTGAAAATTATGTTCAACATGCTTCTTCCTCTAGTTCTAGGTCCATTCTTGGTATCCACAAGGTTAAAAATCTTTATAAAGTTGAAAAATTTAGAGAGCTCGCCACTCAAATGGAAGTGTTGAACAGAAAGTTTGACCAAGTTTTGTCAACTGTCTGCACAATTAGTTTTTCTCATCACTCCTCTTTGCCAGATGAGGTGTGTCCTATCTGCGCTAGTCTATCTCATTATGCTGCCAGTTGTCCTCTCTTGGGTCAATCTTTTGAAAATCCAAAAGTGCAAACCAATGTTGCGTTCTCCAGTTCAGGTTACAATCAAAATTCCAATACTTATAACCCTGGCTGGAGAGATCATTCCAATATATCATGGCAGAATCAAAGCCAAGGCAATATTGTTCCCCAATCTCTGGGACAGTACCAAAATTCATCTAATCATCTGTAAAATAATTCTTTCAATTAATCTTCCATCTACCCTCCTCCTCAATTTAGGAACCAAGCTAATCTTGATCATCCTCCTCCTAGGTACTCGTCTGAATTTGAAGAGAATGCATTGGCTGCAATTAGCAACTTTAAGTCCATTACTCAATTGTTGCATTCTCATTCTCAATCTATAACCAAGCTAGACACTCAATTTGGGTAAATAGAAACTCGAGTTGGATAAATAGAAGTTCATGTAGGGCAAATAGCAAATCAAGTTGGGGAAATAGTTAAAGTGTTGACTCAAAGAGAGGAAAGAAAGCTGCCTAGTCAGGCAGTGGCCAACCCAAAAGGGCAAACTTACATGATTAATGACACTAATCCTTCAAGTAGTCATTATGAGCAAGTTCGGGCCATCACCACTTTGAGAAGTGGATTGGTGGTTCGTCGTCCTACCACATAGTTTGGAAGGTGCATTAAGGTAAGGGCTAAGTTTTACATTTATAATTGCCACTACTAACTTTCACTAAAATATAGTTAGGGCGAGTAGGGATCGTCCCAAGGGATTGGAGGGTCGTATAAGGTTGTGAAATCGAGATTAGGGTTAGTAGGTCGAGTGATCAAAAGATTGGTTGGTGATTGAATTATACTAAGATGCAATTTAAACTAAAGTAAACAATAAAATACAATAGAGAGAAAATAAGAGAGAGAGAGATCTTGGGGTTTAGAGATCACCACTAAACATAGCTTTTCTACACCCTTAATGAATGATTAATGAGGGGGAAAACTTATATTGCAACAATAGTGTGTGTGTGTGGTTGTTTCAATAAGCATGGATGACTAATTAAGTATAAATTGTCTAAGCAACATAGTGGATAGCACAATATATCAAACTAAGCCATTAATCCTTTCTTTAACTCACAATCCAAACACATCACAAAGTTAGAGACATATGTTACTTGTTTTCATAAGTATGGAACATCAAACAACAAGCATGGATTGTCCTCCCATTTAATATCTATGCTACAACTACACTACAATTAAGCTAATGACATGAAATTGAACTAATTAAACTAAGGAAAAGGCACAATCCATCAAGAAATGAGTATGAACCATCAAATAAACCACAAGAGCATTCTATTAAGCAATATATCTTGACAATCTCTAGATCTATAGCATCAATACACATAGACATGCATCAATAACACGAAATCTAGAGACAAACACATGAACATTTATTCTAGCATACATAGACATATGGATAGAATGAAATGATCAATTGGAAGTATTAAACCATACAAATCATTGAATAAACAAGATTTATATATATAAAAATGTCAAAACATGTATCACAATACAAATCCCCTCAAAAATACATAAATCAAGATGTAGAAAGCATGCTTAGGGCTAACTCTAGCCCCAAGAGGATGTCTAGCCACTCATGGATAGTGTCCTCCAACCCTCAAGGGCTAACTTTATGGAAGAAATTGCTCCTCTTCTTGGTTGATGGAAGATCTCCAAGCTTGTGTCTCTAGCCTTCTCTCTTCTTTTCTTCCTCTCTAAGAATATGATATGGAAATTGTGTCAAAAGTCTTCTTGTAAAAGTGGCTCATATTCCTTATATAGGTAGGCCAAATGTCACACCCAATGACCTGGGCTTATACACCAATATTCCTCCCAATGATTGGATATGAGACAACTTTTAATGAGCTAGAAATTGAATTTTCTCGCACTTGGGGAAGTTTGATCGATCGAACCTTGGATTTAATCGATCGAACATGGCTGAGATCTATCGAACTAAGGCTGGATCGATCCTCTATGGTGGCACCTTTTTGGATAAAGACAAATCTGAGATATTTTGGAGATATTTTTGGGAAAGAGACAAAAGTGGTAGATATGGTGGTACAATCGGATAAGATAGAATCTTTTCGATCGATCGAAAGAAAGTTGGATCGATCGAACTTTGTGGGATCTTTGGATAAGGACAAAATAGCTTGGATCCATCTTTAAGTGCTGAAATCGATCAATGTTGGATCGATCGAAGAGATTCCCTGATCGATCGAACTTACTGAATTTCCACCCTTTGCTTCCTTTTGCTCCCACTTTGCTCCTTTCTTTGATTCATCTCAAGATTGCTTCAATTATGCTCTTATTTAGCTGAGTTAGCTTATTTTGGGGATAAGTACCTGAAAATGGAAATAATACAAAATCAATTTAAAGAGGAAAAATAAGATAGATAAAGGTTCTAGAATACCTAAGCTTAAGGGGTTTAAGTGCGCACTTTTCAGCGCTCATCACACCCCCAAACTTAAATATTGCTAGTCCCTTGCAGTGAACTATGAAGTAAAGGAATGAAATGAACAACCATACAAGTATGAACTAGAAAATAATAAAAGGATAACACCACATTCGTAGGGAACACGATTGCATTTAGCGTATGCAATAAGCCTTTTAAACCCCTAGGTTACTCCTAGTGGACGAGTGAAGTCTCGTGAGGGTTTTCAGAAATGATACCCACAAACATTTAGCTCATTCTTTCAAAAGAGGCACCAATATTGCAAACAAGGATTGGGAGAAAACTACCTCAAGTATGCAATTTTTCAACCCTTTCCAAGCAATCTCCCAAAATCTCAACACCAAGCAAGCAAGTATGGTCCTCCACACATCAAGAAAATGATCATGCAAATCAAAACAACTCTAGAATCGTTTTTGAGTGGACCGGCATCAAATATGTTGTTATCTTAGCCAACTAGAGAAATGATCACATCCTTACCTTCAAACTAGCACACAAATCTAGTCCTGATCATCAAGATAAAGAGTGGACCTTTTATTAAAGCTTTATTGATCTAGGTGCGCTTATTTTTTTCACTCAATTTTTTTCTTTTTTAATCCTAAGGATCAAAGATGGAAGCATAGTGCAATGTGTTGATCTATTAAGCTTTCTAGCGATCCATGAGGTCGAGCATTAGGTCAATGACTCCCAAACAGGATGGCTTTAGGGCATTAGGTGTTCAAACATCCCTAAGGACTTACAAGCTCAAATCAACTTGGGTACAAATCAAGACAACCTCCATCTAATCATTTCCTACTTCTCTCCTTTTGGGAGAAGTCCTCACTTTTTTATTGCTTTTACAACTTTTTTATTTATTTTTATTTTTTATTTTTTTTTAGAGTTCAATTATTAACCTAGAGTTTGGGCCCTCTACCTTTCGGCGTGAGAAATTCAGTTCTTGATGAGGCTAGAATCCCGGCTACTCAATGAAAAGGGTTTGTTATCCACTTTTATCAAGATGAAAGCTTTTAATGCACCACTAGCCTAATTGGGATATAACCAATTCAATAATCAACAAAGGATGTACCCCACAAATGAATGCTAGTGTGTGCCTGTACTAGTATAGAATACTAGAGTGAATCTCAAAACAATCACAAAATCAGGATGATGTGGACCATAAGTGCAAGCAAGATATCAATCTTGCAAAAAAATTTCTCCTAAATGGCATCCACAAGGCATACAAGGAGTATTGGACTCTCAAGTCAAACAATTTTTAAATTTTAAGCAATATAGTCCTCAAAAGATCAAAATCATAGCAAACATGGATCTTAAATCTCAATCATAAATTAAAGTTCAACTTTAAGTAGAATGCAACAAAGTCACATTACCCCCAAACTTAAACCGCGCATTATCCTCAATGTGCAATGAGAACAAAATTAAAAATGGAAAGAGTATACTATGGTGGCGAAAGCATGAAGCCCGGTAGTGATCTAATTTGAAAGACGTCTCCCCCAAACTTGGAATCATCTACCTATTTGAATAACCATACTGGCAAACTCACATCAAGTATCAAATGTGATAAGAATAATCAAATCATGCATTCTAAGACAATATAACACAATATAAAAGAGAGATATGAGATCAAGCCCTCACTAAAGCATAAAGTATGCATGACTACTCATACAGACACAATGGTAAAAAGATTTTTTTTTTTTTTGAATAAACAAGATAATAAAATAAAATTCAAGAAAGTATGAACAATGATTGCTAAGTTTAACGTCTCTAGCTAGACGTAATGCCGCTTTGAGAAAACAAGATTAAAATTCAAAAAGGGAAGAAAAAGACAAATAAAGATGTTCAGATCGATCGATCTCAAAAAGTATTCGATCGATCGAACATGCTTAAACCTGTAGACATGTTCAATCGATGGGACAGAGAGGTGATTGGATGCAAGTTGGATGCAGGTTCAAAATTTTTTAAGTGTTGAGACTGTAGATCGATCCAAGATGAATTTGGATCGATCGAAGAATTTACGATCGATCAAACAGAGAGCTGAAATATGCAGGTTTTCTTCGAACGATTAGACAGAGAGGTGATTGGATGCAAGTTGGATGCAGGTGAGAAGTTCGATCGATCGAACCTCCTTGGAGATCGATCGAACAGGAACAAAATGCTCATT